TCTTAGATGTCTGTGCAAGTTTGTTGTTGACCCTGCACTGACAGAGATTTTCATTTTACAAACTCGGAACTCAGCTTTGCAGTCTCCATTATCACTGAAATGCATCCAGATGCTGCTTCATTTTCGGTTTTCGGACATTTCCTCCGTTTTTCCCGACGCGCTTGCTTTTAACCTGGCTCCCCATCTGTGTGTACCTGTCCTGTACTACCACTACACTCGCTGTCTGAGCGTCTGGCCCCGCCCCCTTACGTCTCTCACATTACGGTATGAGTCTAGTCTGTCCTCGCACGTGATTGGTCGAATGGTGCGCCCATAAAAATAGTCTCGCTCTTCTGTGCATGGATTGTCAGCAGAGCTGACCAATAGCGGCTGAAGATTCGGCTCTCCCCGGCGGGAGTTGGCTCTTCTCGTTCCCTACAAAGCATCGGCTCTTAGAGCCGGCTCGTTCACGAACGACACATCACTACTTGCTAGCCCGGAGTACTGCTTATTTCCACCGCACCTGTGTAGCTTCCGACATATATGGACAAACGTGTGTAGTACCATGGGTAAGGCTGAATTTTATTGAAAATAATGAGATACTCTATTGTTTTTGTAGTCTGACTTGCCAGGGCGAACCTGTCTTTGGTGTTATAGTGACCGGGTCTCACTGCAGTGACAGTGAAAAGCGAGAGGAAGTTTAGCAGGACAACACCGGTCGATGGAGACAGTATGTGAATCCTAATGGGTACATCTCATGTCTCATCTTGTAAAATCTTCCTACGTCCTCGGTTTTCGGTCGAGGACGTAGGAAGATTTTACACTCGATTTTTCGGCTCTGAGACCGAGGATGGTGCTGTGGAAGCCATAATCCAGGATATATGAGACCATCATTCGCGGAAGTATTTTGTGAACCGACACACAAATCAGTTGATGATTGGACGCTTCAGATGAAGGACTGTAACTCTCATATTATGTGGGCGGGCTAAGGCGCAAGGAAAAAATGGCAAGTAAGGGAAATGACAGTGCTTACAAGAAATTTGGGATGTACCCATATACAATGGGTATGGCTTCACCACTTACCTCCACTATACAAAAGTGAAGCCAAAATATTGTTAATACGGCGGCTGCCATCTTGCTTTTTTGCAACCAGATTCTGCTCAGTAGCAACAAAGAGTAGAGTAACAGTATTGGAACACTAACCAAAGCTGTCAGATCAACTGATATCATCAAACACTTTTAAAAACAAACCTACCAGAAATGTGACTTGTACACATATCTGCTAATATCTACCAAAAACCACCTCTGGGAAAAGTTTGTGATTAATACTTAGAATGGAGGAGGTGGGATTTATGACCTATGCA